GAGGTTCTACGTTTTCGGGCGATGTTTAACCTCTTTGAGCCTCCTGGGGCCTCCTTGTCGCCACTGCTGGATTCCCCTTTTGAGTTCTGGTCAGAACGCCCTTTTCAACCTCTTTGGGCCTCCTGGGGCCTCCTTGCCGCCACGACTGGTTTCCCCGTTTGAGCTTTGGTCAGAATGCGTGCTGAAAGTTGGTTTCGCCATTCGTTTAGCCACGGACCACGACGAAGGGGAGGAGGCGGAGTGGGTTAATGCCACGGGCTTGGAGGAGACGTTTGAGGAGCAAGGAAGAGGCGGAGGAGGAGGAGGAGGAGGAGGTGAAGGAAGGACGAGAAGCCCAAAGCGTGTTTGACGCAGACAGCGGTGTGTACACCCCTTGCGCACGAGCGTCGGCCACTACCGTGCAGGGTGCGGGCCATATGCGGATGCAACCATAACGATTGGTGATCACGCGATTGCTGCAGGAACGAGGCTGGTTCAAGCTCAAAGAGAAACATATGGTGTACACAAAACTCATTGTTGCGAGCCTACTACTCTGGGCAGAGCGGCTGGCACGATACAAACTCGCTGGATCACTTGCTGCACTTCCCCCACACCCGCTTGGCCTGCGCGTAGGCGTACCTAGCGAAGGATAGCTGGTCGTCCTTCGAGATGCCCGCGGCCTTGGCCAAAGCCTCAGCACCCCTGTAGGCCCTGGTCGTCCAAGAGCCCAAGCTGGAATAGTTGCCGACATCGGAAGGCTTCGTGAGTTGGCTGATCTGGATCTTCTTGCAGGAGCTGGGCATCTCGGGCATGGCCTGAACCTTCTTGGGTCCTGTAGAGGAGGACACTCAGGAAAAGAGGGAGGAGGACGGAGGAGGAGGAATGAGGAGCGGGGAAGAGGAGGATTAACAACCTCATTAGTGTAGGAGAAGGCAGGTCCTGATGAGGCCGCGGCTGCAGGTCGCTTGGCCACGCCCTTCGGCGCAACTGCAGTCTTGGCCGACGCCCCCTTGCCCTTGCCCTTAGACGCGCACTTGTTCTTCTTGCCCTTGCCGCGCAGGCTGCTGTCTCCATCATCGTTGGCCCTGGCGCCAACTGCAGCGTCGGACATCTCGCGCTCAAGCTCGGCGACCCTGTCGTTCGCAACTGCTGCTGCGTCTGCAAGCGGTTCGATCGGGGCTGCTGTAGTAGGCGAGCCACTTCCTGAGCTGGGCGATCCGAGACCGTGCACGGGAGTGCCCGTCGGAGGAGCTTCGCTGTCATGCGTGCCACTTGGAGGCACCGAATAGACGATGTTGACACCTTCGTTGCTCTTGGGGCCCATGAAGCGCTGGAGCTGACTCATGTCGAACATGCCAGAGTTCATGAGAGCCATGGCCTGCTGACCAACTGTCGCGAGCGCGAGCATGTGGTTCGAGCAGTTCCCGAAGCCACCCTGGGCCATCACGTTCGGCATGCCAATCGCCATGCCCCGGGTGGCCAGCTGATGGCCCGCGGGCCCCTTCACCTGCTTCGAAGTCGTCCTGCAGCAGGCGCCTGAGCGGGCCTCCTCCGCAGCGCGTTGGAGATCTGCAGGAGGGTTCACTGTGTGCTCACCATCGTATGCGAAGCGCAGCACAGGGTCGGTCCACTGCGCGGGCGTTGAAGGGTAGCGTGCCATGTGCCCGTGTGGGTAGCGCGTCCGACCGCCGCGCTCCTTGACCGCTGTTTTCACGTGGAGTGCCAACTGCTTCTTAAAGTCGCCATCCAGGTGCTGGCCCTGGAAGTGGCACGCGATGACCATCGCGGCCGCGTGCTTCAGGACGTCCTCTGGAGGGCACGTGCAGCCGAGCTTCCAAAGCCTGTTGCCAATGAGCGTCGTCTTGGAGACGTGGGCGAGGTCAGGGTCGCGGAGGGCCTCCCAGTCGGACTGCGTGAAGAAGTAAGTGAGGTTCTCAATGTACTGCTGGCAGCGCTGGCTCCTTCGCCTTGACTGCTCGTGCCTGCTGGCTGCGCCGGACAAGGCGCTCGCCAGGACGGTCCTCTGCTGGGGGGTCCACGGCCCGTTGACGATGTGATTGGTGACGGTGGTGCTCAAGTCCATCGTGAGGGCAGTGGAACTCGAGAAAGTAGCTGCCAGTTGCTGCGCCTGCGCCTGCAAGAGAGCGCCCCTGTCGACGCCAGCAGCTGCTTGCGCGGCGACGTGGCGCAAGCGCTGGTCCACGATCGTGATCAGGCGCTCAGCCTCGGCAGCACCAGCATCAGCAGGGGTGGCCATGGACGCGGTGGGAGCGTGTCCGAGGTAAGTAGCACGGTCAGCACTGGCCACGAGTAGCACTGAGCCAAAACGGCGATGGGGAGACGGGGGAGGAGCAGCAGCAGGAGGGAGGAAGGGGGATGGGGGAGGAGGCGACGCACGTCGAGGAAGGAGGGAGGACTGAGAGAGATAAAGATAGATCACATGCGGGAAAGGGAGATGCGGGCGAGATGATGGAGGAGGGGAGGGAGGAGGAGCAGGGAGGGAGTGGGAGGAGAGAAGGGGTCTAGGAGGGGTTTAGGGAGGCAGCAGACGAGGGAGCATGGGACACGGACGGAGCAGGCTGGACCCCCATGTTGGTTGAGGGTGTAGGGTGGGAGCGGCAAGGAATGCGCATGGAACGGGGAGTGGACAAGGCGAAAGAGATGGGGCTGGAGGGGAAGCTCAGGGAGAACAGCAACTGACACAGGAGCGAAATCGTGCAATATGGAGCCCGAACCCCAGAGCATCTGCCAGCCGCTCCGACCTCGGATCCCTCGACAAAGCCCAGGCCTTGGGACGACGCCGGCTTGGGCCCCAAATGTTCGAACTGCCACCTGGCAGTTCGAACATTTGTTCGAACTGCCGCCTGGCAGTTCGAACATCCAGCGCCTCTTCCTGCAATGGGAATACCTAGGGCTGGATGTTCGAACTGCCAGCTGGCAGTTCGAACATTTGGGGAGATCTCCTCAATGACGCCTGAGACATCCATGATCGAGGCCCTTTCACCTGACGTCTGTACTCCGTCTTGCTCGTTCAGGCGCTGCCTCCAAGATGCGTGCAACGGACGATGATGAGGAGAAGGGATGGACATACCGATGAGCAGGACTCGTTTTGCACGTTTTGCTCGCAGCGTGATGCCCTGAGCCAGCCCCAAGCTCCTGAATTGAACGGCCCCCGTCGCGCCAGAGCAGACCAGCTCATCCGACTAAACCTCGGATGAAGCATCCCCAAGGTCAGTGCCTGGGCGCGCTGAGGACACGTGCACAATTGCTGCCAGAGGTCGCTGCGACGCGACCGCTCTTGGCTTAGCGACTCGCCCGAGAGCCGCCAGAGAGAAACGCGGACGCACAGACTAAGAGCAACGCATGGCCGCATCCGAGCCTAGGACGAGGCATTGTGCTGGTGGTAGAATACCTCCAGCGTGGGCGCAAGGCGGTTGATGCTCGCCTGGAGTCCCTCCTCGCTGTCGGGAACGGTCATGCTCTTGGTGCGCATCTTCTTCTTCTCGGCGCACCAGTAGGTGGTGCGAAGGCAACGGCGGCTGGGGGCGTATTCCACGTGAGGCTCCGAAACCGTTGGGCTCTCCCTCTGGACAGGGGCATGAGGTTTCTTACGTAGCAGCGCCATGTTGGCCTCCGTGAGCTCGATGGAGAGCTTCGCCCTGGTCGATACCTCTGGAAGGACGTTCACTCTATGCTGAACGCCCTCGAGGTCAATCACGCCCACCTGGATCACCGTGGCGATGTCGTCGATGAGCTCCCTCCTAGGACGCTTCAGAAGCGGCTCGCCTCCTTCGTCGGCCAGTGGGTCGGAGGCCGCAGTCACTTTGCTCATCAGCTCGGTGGTGACCGCGTTGCGTGCCTCCGTGAGCGCAGCGAGCATCTCAAACTGCTTCCCGACAAGCTTCGCGAAACCCAAACACTGCTTGTCGGTGAGCACGAACGTCTTCCCGTCCCGCTCGAATGCCAACGTGACCCAACTGGTTGCTACCGAAGGGTCCTCACCGAGCGGAGCGATGGCCACGAAGCCCCGCTGAATGGCCGCCATGTCAGTAGCGGAGACAACAGAACGTGCCGAGTACCAACGGGACTCGAGCCAGAAACGCCTATAGGGAGAGGGGGGGGAGAGCGAGAGGGACGGATGTGGAGGAGGAGCGCATTAGCACGAGGACGTTTGGAAGGATGGGGAGAGGGAGCATGGCGAGGATGAGGAGGGCTTGAGTGAACGAAGCTGGGTTATGAGGATTGGTAGAGGAGAAAGGGGAGGGACTGAGGAGGAGTTGCATGAGCCAGTGTAAGCCGCCACCGTTACGGATTAGGAGGAGGACGAGGGGATGAGTAATAAAGAGGTTCGTTCTGCTTGGGTGGGCCGACACCGAGACTCCAAGTCTTAAGTGCGTCGACGGCTGCATGCCTCCACTGGGGGTCCGACGGACTGGGAGGAACAGGAGGGACGAGTGGCTAAAGATGTGAGTCGTTCGGGTCCCTCATCTTCCCCCTTCCTGGGGGTGGACCACCGCAGCAACGAGGCGCCAAGTCCTCGGTGGCCTGGGGGATCCACTCTTAGGAGGGGGAGAGAGGAGGGGGCCGACCGACTCAGAGGTGGATACGGACCGATGAGCTTTATACCCATGGCGCAAGAGCAGGAGGAGCAAGACGAGGACCACGAGGGTCGGGAAGCAAGGAAGGATGAGGAGGAGGCGGAGGAGTGACATGGTCACCTTGGCGCTGCAGCACTGTCGTGTGCTCGCCAGCTCGCGCGGTCTCAGGCAAGCGTCTAGAGTCTCTTAAACGGTGTTGGGTGAAACGCGTGTGTCCTCATCCTCCTTCCTCCTCGGTCCTCCTCGGGAGCAGCATCTCCTCCTTGCTACTGTTTAGTTTTTCCATCGTCCTCCGCCTCCCTCTTTCTCCTCCATTCCTCTTCCTTACTCTTCCTTGTTAGCGTGCACGAGCTACCCCGCGCACATTACACGGGATTGCAACCCACACAGCCTGACAAAACTTAAATGCACCTGGAATCGATCCTACGCCTTCTGCCTCTTCGACCCCTGGGGCTGCTCCGCTGCAAGGCGCTTTGGGGCCTTGGGGTCAGCGCCTTTGCGGACCAGCTCACCGCCCTCAGGGATCGCTTTGCAGTTGACGAGGGTGGGAATCTGAATTACTTCGCCCTGTACAGCCTGCTTCATGGTCCCAGGGACCATGTTGACCTCATCCGAATCAGGACTGGACCTGACGCACCAATACGGCACTCGAAAGTGTCCGGTCTTAGCATTGTCAGGCAGATCTACGCGGGGGCTCAAAAACACGCTCGTGCCGCAGGAGAGACCCTCAACTGTCGAGACGTTCACGCTTACAGACTTAGGCGGCGCCTTAGTGCCGATCGAAATGCTGGTGGTGAATGGCACGAGCTGGAGCTTGCCCTTATTACTACGTTCCGATGCCACGACCCAGTGCTCTTTCCCATCAGACCGAATCTCGACTTGGCCCCCCTCACCAGCCTCGGAGTGTGCGCTCGAGAGCGCAAGAGTGACGGCGGCCTTGGTGTTCATCGTGATGGAGTCTGGATGCTGCTGGACAGAGGACACCTTGTACGTGAGCACATCCTTCTTGATCACAAGCTGGGGGCGGTGGGGGGACGATCGCAACAAGTACTGACACGAACACTTCTAACTCATCATCCCCGTCTTGATCCTCCATCTCCTCCTCTTCCTCCTCATTATCCTTCTATTCCTCCTCCTCCCCCTCCTCATCACCATTCCCTAATCCTCATCATCCGTATCCTCGTCAGCATCCTCCTCCAAACACGTATGGGGGGGAAAGCAATCCTTGTATTGATCGACGAGGGCGTTCGTGGAGAGCGTGATGGCATCGTCCTTGCCCTTGCCCGTGCCATTCTCGCGCTTCAGGGTGACCTGGCTTGCTTCTCCTCCTCCTCCTCCTCCTCCTCCTCCTTGTCCTCCTGCTCATCGTCCAACGTTTCCTCCTCCTCGCCCTCGTCCTCTCTCCTCCTCCCTCGCAGTGGCATCCCCTGCTCGCCTGTTTTATCATCATCATTTCTGTTCCTAGTCAGTATCGTCCTCCTCTTTCTCCTCGCCCGCCTCGTCCTCCTCGAGATGATACTGCTCGTCTTCATCATCCCCTTCTGTCCACGTGTTCCGCCTCCCCGTCGCTCCGCCTCGCTCCTCCTCGTGGGTGCCATTTTGTTCAGTAGAAGTATGGGTGTTCGCTCTCTCTCTCTCTCTCTCTCCCTCTCTCTCGCTCTCTCTCTCCCTCCTCCTCCTCCTCCTCCTCCTCCTCCTCCTCCTCCTCCTCCTCCTCCTCCTCCTCCTCCTCCTCTTCTCATCGTCCTTACGTCGCAAGGGGGGGCGCGACCTGTCCAGACGCAGCGGCTTCGATGACCATGATCTCCCCCTTGCCGTCTTCGGAGCTCTTGAGCGTCACCTTCGAGCCGACCTCGAAACCGAGCTTCGACATGATGGTGTCGCTCAGCCTGCCCGAGTTGTACTGCGCGATGCTGTCGCCCACCTGCGGCTCAGCCTGCTGCGTGGTGATCTCGACGGGAGGGTCGAACTCGATCGCTGCAGGATCTATCTTAATCACGTCCTTCATGAATTGGGCTGCAATCTCAGACATGCTCTTGAACGTCTTCCTCGTCCCCGCCTTGGCCTTCTTGCCGTGGGCCATCATCACCATACGAACGTCCATGCCCCCAATCAGTTTGGCCACAGCGTGCTGCTTGGCAGGGTGTGCCATGCCGCACGTCTCGAGGAGGAATGTCTTGCATGCGCGATCCTGTGCAACACCCGCAAGCGCTTGCACTCGGATCTTGCCGCCCTGCAGCTCTTGCATGCCAGCACCCGTCCACGCGCGAGACTGGCCGTCGCGCATGAAGTTCTCTGGGCAGCTGAGGCTGGCCTTGAGACAGTCCGTGATCCACTCAGGGTCATCCAGGAAGGGGGCGGCTGCGAGACAAGAAAACGTGTGCGCAGACACGTCACGGTAGTTCTCGCCCAGCGTCTTCACGAACGCAGCCAGTTCCAGTAAGTAGCACGGGGGAGTACCTCCACTGTATTGCTCGACGTAGGCGCACATAGCATCCACTGAGCCCCTCAACCAAGGGCGCGTCCGCTCAATCACGCGCGTCACGGCATCCCATTTCGCATCACCGAGCTTCTTGCAGTTGTTGAGGCCCATCTTCGATATTTGCATCAACGTCTGCACTTTCGACTGCACCCTCTCGGAGCCATGTCCGATGTTGCAAGCTGTTTGCATAAAGTCCGCAAGACCTGGGACGCGCTCCTCAAGCTGCCAGCGGAATACCGTCCATTCCAAACCAAGCTGTATTGGCTCCTGCGTGCCCCTCGAGACCTCAAGCACCTTGTCGCGCGAGATGCGGCCCTCGTCGGTCGTGAACTCATCAGCCATGCCTTTAGTGCCGTTCTGGATGCACCTCAGCACCTGGAGCGTGTGGCTGGAGCTCACCGTGGCAAATTGAGGTGCTGCAGGAACTGGTGCCAAGTAGCCGTCCGAGCTGTCGACCAACTCCTGGTTGAATTCGCGCATCTTGGTGGCCTCGGCTCGGCGCCAGGCTGGATCTCGAAGGCCCTGCAAGTGCCAAGTGATTTCCATGACCAGCCGCTACGAACGATCATGGCAAGAAGGGTGTGCACTTCCAAGAACTCCACACCGAGGCCGAAACGATTCTGATGATGGACTACGCCGCTGTCATTGGGAAAGCGTTGTACGTAGGCCAGCTGCTTCTGCAAGCAAAGCTTCTCCACCTGGTCGCATGCAGTCTTCATCTCACTGTCGTTGTCATCGGAGGTGCCTACGGCGGAAAAGCGCTGCGCGGTATCCTGCAGCGCGGGGGCTATATCGTATCCAATTCAGTCGTATGAAAGACAAAACGCTGCAAACAAATTCGATGGAGAAGGCTATGGTGTGACGGCGACGAGAAAACGTAACATCATTGGGTGGATCTTCGATTGCACGGGGCTGCCCCGAAAATCAAACATATGATTATTCTTCCTGGATCCGCACTCGCTTCAAACGGAATCTGGAGCACAACGATGCGAGGGCCACGGCGCTAAGTTGTCTTAGCGAGGTTATATAACCTACTTGCTAACCTCTTAAGTAACCAGCTTAGCTCGCAACTTCGCCTACTTCCTAACTTACTTTCTAAGACCGACAACTACATCCCCAACCTCGGCGTGGACCACTTAGCATGCATTTGCTAAACCACCCGAAAACTCTGTAAGCACTTACCCTTTACACGTAAGCAGAAGCTTTGTACAGCAATCCCCGCCACCCACTTATGTGAGCTTCGTGCACATGGAAGTGGCTTACCGAACATGTAAGTGAGTTACATCCTACTTATATGTACTTACACCCCCCCTAAGCACTTACTATCTCCCATGGCCCTCCCAGCACCGGCACCGGCACCAGCGCCGGCACCGGCACCTGCACCGGCGCCAGCACTGCACCGGCACCGGCACCGGCACCCGCACCTGCACCGGCATGGCACCGGCACCGGCGCCAGCACCGGCACAGGGGGGTTTCGGATCCCCCCCCCACTCCCCCCTTGCGCTGGAAAGGGGGGGGTGTTCGGACCCCCCCCCCTCCCCCCCTTTGCGCCGGAAAGGGGGAAAGGTAACCGGGATGGGGGCCTCTCTCGCTGCTCCTTTCTGCCCCGGAGAAGGTGTGTAGGGAGTGCGGAGTTAGGGGTAGGGAGTAGTGAGTAGTGAGTTAGTGAGTTAGTGCGTAGTTAGTCGTGAGTATTGGGTAGTGAGTAGTGGGTAGTGAGTGGCGAGTAGGGAGTTAGGAGTAGGGGGTGGGGAGTAGTGAGTAGTGAATAGTGAGTAGTGTGTACTGATATGTGAGTAGTTCTTAGCGAATGGTGAGTAGTGAGTAGTGAGTAACGAGTAGCGAGTAGTGAGTACTGCGTAGGCAGTAGGATGTAATGAGTAGTGGGTAGTGGGTAGTGGGTAGTGAATAGTGGGTGGTGAGCAGTGTTTAGTGAGTAGTGAGTAGTGGGTAGTGCGTAGTGCGTAGTGCGTAGTGAGTAGTGAGTAGTGAGTAGTGAGTAGTGAATAGTGAATCGTGAATAGTGAGTAGTGAGTAGTGAGAAGTGAGTAGTGAGTAGGGAGTAGCTTGTAGTGAATAGTTGTTAGTGAGTAGTGAGTAGTGGGTAGGGAGTAGTGAATAGTGCGTAGTGAGTAGTAAGCAGTGATGAATAATAGTGGGTAGTGGGGGGAGTAGCGACTAGTGAGTAGTGAGGAGCGAGTAGGGCGAAGTGAGTAGTGAGTAGTGAATAGGGAGTAGTCAGTTGTGAGTAGTGGGTAGTGAGTAGCGAGTAAGGAGTAGGGAGTAGCGAGTAGTGAGTAGTCAGTAGTGAGTAGTGAGTAGTGAGTAGGGAGTAGGGAGTAGGGAGTAGTGAGCACTGAATAATAAGAAGTGGGTAGCGAGTAGTGGGTAGTGAGTAACGATTAGTGAGCAGCGAGTAGTGGGTAGTGAGTAGTGATTAGTGACTAGTGACTAGAGGCTAGTGACTAGGAGTAGTGAGTAGTGAGTAGTGAGTAGTGAGTAGTGAGTAGCGGGGAGTAAGTAGCGAGTATTGAGTAGCGAATATGGAAGTAGCGAGTAGTGAGTACTAAGTACTGTGTAGTCAGTACCATGTAGGGAGTAGGGTATAGCGAGTAGCGAGTAGTGAGTAGTGAGTAGTGAGTTGTGGGCTATGAATATAGTGAGTAGTGAGAAGTGAGTAGTGAGTAATGGGTAGTGGTTAGTGGGTAAGGCGTAGTGATTAGTGAGTAGTGAGTAGGGAGTAGTGAGTAGTGAGTCGTGAGTATTGAGTAGTTGGTAGTGAGGAGTGAGTAGTGAGTAGTGAGTAGGGAGGAGGGAGTAGTGAGGTCGGAGTAGTGAGTAGCGAGTAGTGGGTAGTGGGTAGTGAGTAGGGGATAGTGAGTAGTGAGTCGTGAGTAGTGAGAAGTGAGTAGTGAGTAGCGAGTAGTCAGTAGTGGGTAGTGAGTAGTGAGTAATGCGTAGTGCGTATTCTTTGGGGCTTGGGCTTCGGAGTGGGGGTTAGGGTCAGGGGTTTGGGTTAGGGTGAGCACTAGGGTTAAGGGTGGCGGGGGTCGGGTTTCGGAGTCAGGGGGCGGCGTGGCGAAAGGGGGGGGGGGGGGGGGGGGGGGTGCGGCCAAAGGGGGGGAGGGGGGGGGAGGTCCGGAACCCCCTCCCCCCCCCTTTTGAAAGGGGGGGGTGGGGGGGGGTTCCCGACGACGGACCAGGAAAGGGGGGGAGGGGGGGGGTGTGTGGGTTTCCCGACGACGGATCGGCGGCGGGCCCTCGGCCAATTGCTGGTGTAGCGGCGCTGGTGTTCGCCAACCGTTCGTTCGTCATTCTCGTGCCGCGCCTGCTCGCGTACTCCTCCTTTATGTCTTTCCCGCCCTCCGCGCCTTATCTTCCTTGCCCTCGTGTTTCTTCGTCTTCAACATCCTCCTCCTTCGACGTCGTCCCTCCATTCTGTTCTCCTTGTTCATCCCCCGATTCAGCTTGGGACTATTTTTATTTGCACTGAACGCCCGGTCCACGTGGCAGCGGTGTCCTGTGAACGCCGCGCTTCCTGGTGCCCCAGCGCCCCCGGATGAAAAAGGTGTATATCTTCCCTTCCTGCGTCTTCTCCATCCTCCTTTCTCCCCGCCGTTCCGCCCCTCCCCGTTTGGACCGGCTTTCTGGAGGCCTTCTTTAGCTGAGCGGTTCCACTTAGCCATCTAGATGTTAGATGCGTGATGAGATATATGTTAACATAGGAAATTACAACTCAACGTGTAAGCGGACATGTGATTCGTAATCGAATGTAAGTGGCACCGCAATTATAATCGAATACAACTCCTAACGTTATATATATATATATATATATATATATATTTGAGTTATACATAATTGAAAACAACGCAGTTGCCTAGAGACTTAGGCGGCTTGTTCTAACCACTTAGCATTCACTTACAATTGAATAGCATTCACTCAACTTTAGTTAACTTTGAGTTAGGCGTTGCTATGTAGGGTGTGGCGCGTTGTTGCATCGACGCGGGCTTGGACTTCATTTAGCGCGGGTGATCAGGGCGTCTTGTGGCGGCAAGTTTCACATTTCAAATGTGTTAGACGAGGCCACTGTGGTCACGTCTGCGCGCGCAACGCACAAGCCTTGTTTGGCGGCGGTGCGCACGTTTGCACGCGCGCGGTTCTGCGCGCGCCTGCGCGTTGCGGGCGCCCCCATTGCCTGTGAGACATCGCGCGTGCCATGCGAAGGGGGGCGGGGCGGGGCCGCCGCAACACTTGCGCATTTTTTTTTTTTTTTCATGGGGGGGCGCGCGTAGATAGAGAGTGCGGGGGCATTATGGGACGCGGCGGAGGGCTCGCCCCCGCCGCTCCCCATGGGCCCTCCCCCCATCGTTTTCTCTGTGTACCGCGCCCCCCATTCGCCCCCCCCCCCTTCCCCTCGACCCCCCCCCCCCCCTCCCCTTCCTTCCCCCCCGCTCCCGACCTGCTACCCCTCAACCCACCCACCCACCCTCCCAGCCCCGCCCCCTCCATGAACTGGAGCGGCAACTGCCCAAGGCATCAGTTATCCGTAGCAGGGCGAGCCCGTGCTTCGACGTCGGCGTTCCCCTCGTCGACGTTGTTCGCCATTCCCCCCTTCCACCCTCACGAGGTCTCCTTTCTCTTCTACGAGTTATGCCTCCCATTCCTCCTCGCCCCCCCCCCTCCCCCCTTCCCCCCCATCATCATCATTACTTTCGATTCTGGGTCATCTTAGTTCTGGGGCGCCCACCGATGTTCCATGGTCTCAGCCCCCCCCGAAAAAAAGAAAGAAAAGAAAGAAGCATCACCTGTTGCCGTTTTGGCTTCGAGGGTGCCGAGGGCTCGCCCCGCGCCTTGCAAGTGCAGGTGGCGTCGCGGTCTTTTACATCCACCGCCGCGCGATGGATTTCTGCGCCGAGTTCCAGGCCCACGTCGACTTGGTCGACGCGTTGGCCACGCACGGCGCAGATGGAGCGGCGGCCTTCCAGAGCCACTGCGACGCGCAGGTGGCGGCCATCTTGCAGCTGATCGCGCGGACAGCCAGCGTCGCGCCCCGGGGGGCCACGACGTGCATCGTGAAGATTGGTGGCAGCCAGCTCAGCGGGCCTCGCAGATCGACCTTGATCGACGCGATCGCCACCTTGAGCAGCACCCAGGGCCAGCGTGGACACCGCAACAGCGATTGCACCAACATCCGCAACTTCCTGCCCGCCAACGTGTGGGACGTCCTGGAGAGCCCTCAGTCGCCCTACCACGAGATGCTGCGCACCCTTGAGGAGCACTTAGAGAGAATGGGGCTGCTCAACCCGACTGAGATATCATTCGTGCACATGGCAGCTCTGCTCTTCATGGTGACCAGGCAGGACCTTCAGGGACTCCCAGCCGACGCGGCGCTCCTGGTGGTGCACGACATCAAGACGGCGTTGGGGGCGCGGCGAAGCAGAACTCCGAGGGCGCCAGACGACGTCGATGAAACAAAAAACAAACAAACAAACAAGCAAACAAACGCAAACAAACAGCGCAGACCCAGAGGACGAGGCGCAGAAGGA